GATTACAGGCTTGAGCCACCGCGCCCGGCCTTAATTTTTGTATTTTTAGTGGAGACAGGGTTTCACCAAGTTGGCCAGGCTGGTCTCAAACTCCTGATCTCAAGTGATCCGTCTGCCTCAGCCTCCCAAAGTGCCAGGATTATAGGCATGAGCTACCATGCCCGGCCCTCTTTTTCTTTCTTTCTTCTGCTCTTTTCCTTTTCCTTCATTTGCCTTTCAGGTCAAAAAGGTGTCTTTTTAAAAACTATACTGAGTAGAACAGCCAGGCTCAATGTGAGCCAAGTCTTTCTCTGCTTCTCTACATGTCACGACATGAACAGGCTCGGCAGGAATACCTTCCTGCCTCCTGGGCATTCTTGGTTTTCCACTATGTTACACACACTTCTGAAAAAAGATGTTAACTACCTAACTTACAAGTTTCTCTCCTCTGCCTTTGTTGGAGTTCAGGTTAGCACCTGGGGTCAATGCAGAAAGAGTCCTTGAGGGCCTGTTCTATGCCCCAATCCTGGGAGAGGCCAGTCCTTGCATGGTTAGAGAACAGGGCCTTCCAAACACTAGATGAGATGATGGGGAAATTCTCCATCCAGGGCAGACTTTTACCATCTCTTTTGCTTGATAGCACTGTTCAGTGATTCTGACTCTATCAATCCACAGATATCGGAGGTGTGCCTTCCCTACCTGTATATTGTAGGTTGTCCACCCTATGGGCTTGCCAGAGCCACAGGAGACAATCCTACTACAGGCATTGTTTACTGCAGCCTATCTACTGAGTCTAGGCTTCTCTGTCATTAACCCAACTCCAGACAGTAACTGATAAGCACCAATTTTAAAATTTAAACCTGTTCGAGAGTTTCTCAGAATGCTGACCTCTTACCTCAACTCCCTGACACCTAGGATGTTTCTGAGCTACAGGAGCCCAAAGCTATGCTGCAGTGCCAAAACCAGGGACAGACCAAACTGGCTTTTTCTTTTCTTTTCTTTTTTTGAGATGGAGTTTCGCTCTTGTTACCCAGGCTGGAGTGCAATGGCGCAATCTCGGCTCACCGCAACCTCCGCCTCCTGGGTTCAGGCAATTCTCCTGCCTCAGCCTCCTGAGTAGCTGGGATTACAGGCACGCGCCACCATGCCCAGCTAATTTTTTGTAGTTTTAGTAGAGACGGGGTTTCACCGCGTTGACCAGGATGGTCTCGATCTCTTGACCTTGTGATCCACCCGCCTCGGCCTCCCAAAGTGCTGGGATTACAGGCGTTAGCCACCGCGCCCGGCCACAAACTGGCTTTTTCAACTTGAAACTAAATACTAAGAATGAAGAGGTTGGCTTTCAGGGGCGCGGGTTAAGCAGTTTCTCTGCCAACCCACAGCTGTCACTTGTGGCTTTGTCTCCTGGCCTTTCAGGTGTCCTGGCCTGAATCTGCTGCTAAGACAGAAAAAAAGTCCCCTGACGGGTCACATCCTCTGTAATCTGGCAGGAAACCTAAAATTTGCATGCTCCCATTCCTCGTGGTGTTTGTGTATCTGCTTCCTTGTTGGGAATAGTCTGCATCACAGTGTCCGGTGTAGGGGATTTTCACCATGACCTCACCCTCCTGCTGCCACTCACTGATTCCAGCCTGGCCAAGTGTCCCTGAAGCCACATCACAGCCCAGGTGGAAAGCACATGAGTGAGCCACTAACAGCCCCTGGTAGCAGGTCTCAGGTGAACATTAACTCCAGTTCCTTCCCCTGGGGGGTGGGGGGGGCCTGGCATGGGTCTGAAAATGCCAGAAAGAGCTGGAAGTGTGGGCGGATGATGTCTGGTTACTGTTCTGGGATTCAGAGAGCAGAAGGTCAAGGGAGTCACCTTATGAAAACACACCAGGCCAGGGAGCGGTGGCTCCGTCTGGAATCCCTACACTGCGGGAGGTGAGGCTGGAGGATCGCTTGAGCTCAGGAGTTCAAGACCACCCTGGGCAACATAGGGAGGGACCCCTGTATCTAAAAATAAATACAAAAAATTAGCAGGGCATGATGGCACACGCTTGTAATCCCTGTGATCCCAGCTACTCCGGAGGCTGAACCTGGGAGGTGGAGTGAGCCAAGATCGCGCCACTGCACTCCAGCCACGGTGACAGAGAGACTTCACCTCAAAAAAATAAAAAATAAAATGAAATAAAGAAAATGCACCAAAGACCTGCCAGGCTTATGCTGGCTGTTCTGTTCGAATAACTTTTGAGTCCGTGGCCTCGAAAAGTCCGGTGGGCGGTGGCAGCGGGCAGCAGGCGCATGCGGGAGAAAGGGCGGCTAAGTGGGAGCCCAAGGAGCCGCGTCGGGGACCTGGTCTCCGGCCTCAAGGCCCAGGGGAAGGAGCCCTTCTGCCCACAAGTGGGCGCAGACCACGAAAGGGAAACAGAAAGTTAGACTCCCCCGCCCGGCCCACGTGACCGCGGCTCCCCGGCCTTCTCAGCGCGCGCCCGGCCGCGGCCGCGAGTGCGGGCACCTGAGCGACACAGCGAGCGCGTGACTCGCCGCCCACGGCGGGAGGCGAGGGAGCGACCGCGGCGTGCGCGCGCGCCCCCGGCAAGCAGCGGGAGCGCGCACGCACCGGGGCCACCGCCCCTCCCGGGCCGGGTCCGCCCTCCTTCCCTCCCTCCCCCGCTCTCCTGGCCCGCCCTGCCCGGCCCGCCCTGCGAGTCAGTTCGCTGGTTCCCTCCCTCCCTGGGCGCGCTCGGGCCGCCGCAGCGCTCCCCGCCCTCGAGCCGCGGTGCCGGAGCCGCCCGCCGCCCGAGGAGGAGGTGGAGGGAGCCGGAGGGGCCCGCCGAGGCGGCGGCGGCGGCGGCGGCAAGATGGCGGACTTCCTGCCGTCGCGGTCCGTGCTGTCCGTGTGCTTCCCCGGCTGCCTGCTGACGAGCAGCGAGGCCGAGCAGCAACGCAAGTCCAAGGAGATCGACAAATGCCTGTCCCGGGAGAAGACCTACGTGAAGCGGCTGGTGAAGATCCTGCTGCTGGGCGCGGGCGAGAGCGGCAAGTCCACCTTCCTGAAGCAGATGCGGATCATCCACGGGCAGGACTTCGACCAGCGCGCGCGCGAGGAGTTCCGCCCCACCATCTACAGCAACGTGATCAAAGGTGCCGGGCCGGGAATGAGGGCCTCGGGCTTGGGGGTCGGGGGGCTGGGGCGGCGGCGGGCGCGGGGCCGGGCACCGCCCTCGTCCGCTCCGTCGCTGGCGGAGGACGGGGCCCGGCGGGCGTGCTGGCGGGAAGGGGGCGCGCCCCGGGCACCGGCCCTGCCTGCCCGGGGCGCCCCCGCCCCTCAGGCGAGATGATGCTCGGGGGCGCCCCGTTCTCCCTCTCGTCTCCCCGGTGGGCGTCACGGCCATTCCCTCACCCCCCACCGCGCCCCTGGTCTCGCTCCCTGCGTGAGGGAAGTGAGGCGAACTGGGTGCTTCGGGGTATGGGAAACCTCTCCTGTCCTTCCCGCTGCGGATGAGGGAGGAAGACCCTAGAGCAGCCCCAGCCCCTGCACCCCCATTCCCGGCTCGGGCGATGTGGGCCGAACCTCGCTATCCCGACTGAGTGACCCGAGTCACACGGGGTCGCATGCGCTCCCAACTCCCTGCTTCCTTGACCGCCTCCAAGTTCTGGAACCGTCGCAGTAAGGGAACTTTTTGCCTTCTTGTCAAGGGCGTAGGGCGACAGCCTCCTTTTGGGCAAGAGTATGAAACTTGCGAGTGTCAGGTTGACTGTATTGGAATCAGGAGAGAGTAGACCCATACGGTTAGTCTAAAAAAGTAGCATCTGTCCTTTTTCGCCCCAGTGTCACTGTCAGGTAGGATGTTTGCCTATAATCGCTGTGCAGCACGCTCCACTCTCCTTTTCGCTAAGTAGCTGGGGGCTGGCGGGAAGGGAGTGCCACTACTTCTGTTTAGATGAAATGTTGTAGTTGTAAGAAGACTAGCTTAAAAGTCATGTGGATCCTGTACAGATGGAGACAATGAATGAGTGTGGAGTTAGGTAGTTGGTGCAGCTCTTTATTGACAGTAGTTTTAATATTAAATTTTGTTTTTAAGTGGAAAAATAAACAAGTTATTTCTGGGCATTCAAAAGAATCGAAAAGATAGTTTTTATTTTGTCGTTTGAAAGATAACACTCATTTTTCTGTGTAAGTTCTATAGAAAAGGCATTTTGGCAAAATTCAGGTGCAGAGCCTGATATTTCACGTGCATCTGGATTTTATTTTATCTAGGGAGCAGTTTAGGAGCTTGCTACAGATTGCAGGTTTTTTTTTAAGTGGGATTTTTGTTCAGGAAGTACATAAGGACTTCTTCATGTCACTCCCACCCCGCCTCTCCCAGCGTTTGGGTAAAGGAAAACTGCCTGAAGAGGCAGGCATTGTGGAGTAATGACTAGAATCTCTAGGCCAGCGGCTCACGGACCACAGCCAGTTCTAGCCCTAGTGCCTCTGCAGTTAAACTATAAAGAACAATTGTATTTACCCTGCTATAATGTTTAGTACAAAACTAATTAAGGTCTCTTTCAAGGCTGCAGACTCTGCCTTAGTCCTTAATCGAAGGTACCTTTGTATCCTGATGCAGCTGAACTTAAGGAATTATGTTAATGAATAGCATCAACTTGTTAACTGATTATAAGCCAGGTAAACACCTCCTTCTTAATGTACACTGAGTTGTTAAGTGTGATCTACTTTGAGCATTGATTATGAGATGAAGTAAGTCATCAGGAATCTAGTGTTTTTGAGTTGACAAAGTTGACAATAAAACAGCTTTTTCAGGCTGGGCGTGGTGGTTCCCTCCTGCAGTCCTAGCACCGAGGCCAGAGTGGGAGGATGGCTTGAGCCCAGGAGTTCCAGACCAGCCTGGGCAACATAGCCAGACCTCATCCCTATTAAAAAACAAAAAACTAGCACTTTGGGAGGCCGAGGTGGGTGGATCACCTGAGGTCAGAAGTTCAAGACCAGCCTAGCCATCATGGTGAAACCCCATCTTAAAAAAAAAAGAAAAGAAAAAAAGAAAAACAAAAAACTAAAAAACACCAGTTTTTCAGTTATTCAAGCAGATGACTTCCTAGTAGCCAAGTGACTGTTCAGATGGATCAAAGGTAATGAAAATAATAGATCAGTGATAGAAAAAGCAAGCTTGAACTAACCTCTGTGAGCTGGAGTTTGATTTTGTATTATTTTGCAGTTGATCTTCCTTTTAGGGAAATTGAAGGCTGTCCTGTGAGTTAAACTGATTTGAAGCTTGGGCTGGTAGAAGTTTTTAAATTTTGAATGTTCCTAGAAGACTCAATGTTGGGTTAGGGTGCCGAAGGAGATAACAGAACATGGAGCTATAATACTTGGTTCTTAGTGTTTCATAAGTGAACATCTTTTAAGTTCATAAAATCTTGGTTGTATCTATTTTCTTCCATGCTTGGACAGTGGTCTATGCAGCCTAAGTTCTTTTTCCTTCTTGAGTTTGGTTCTTTTTCGACTACCTTTACCCCAGAAGTTATTTTATAAATTGGAACATGTTAAAAGTCCTTCAGAAAGAGCAATTGTGCTAATAGTATTTGCTTTCCAAGGCTCTAATTTTAAGACAGTGAGCGACTTGTTATTTTTTTAAGCTCTGAGAAGTTTTTGATGTTGGTCTCCATTTTTGGAGAAGGCATGTCTGGATTGATTCAGAAGTATAAGGAAATAATACTGGAATAAAAACTTATGATAATATCTAATGACTTCTTCCCATACATTTTCTTCTTTTTAAACAAAGGTATGAGGGTGCTGGTAGATGCTCGAGAAAAGCTTCATATTCCCTGGGGAGATAACACAAACCAACTCCACGGAGACAAGATGATGTCATTTGATACCCGGGCCCCCATGGCAGCCCAAGGAATGGTGGAAACAAGGGTTTTCTTACAATATCTTCCTGCTATAAGAGCATTATGGGCAGACAGTGGCATACAGAATGCCTATGACCGGCGTCGAGAATTTCAACTGGTAAGAGATTTGCTCTTTTAAAATGTGTGGTTTTATTTTAACAACATTTAGTAATACAGGTTGCACATCCCTAATCTGAAAATTCGAAATGCTCCCAAATCGAAAAGTATATGAGATGGAAGAACAGTCTGAGAGGCTAAGGGAAAACCTAATGTGTCCTAGTCTATAATAACTACTTGTAAAAATGGAGTATACAGTTACCTTCGGCCTACTTGTCTTAAGGTATATATGAAACATAAATGAATTTCTGGTTTAGACTTGGGTCTCCCTCCCAACATACCTCGTTATGTGTGTGCAAATATTTCAAAAATCTAAAAAAATTCAAAATTCAAAACACTTCTGGTCCCAGGCATTCGGATAAGGAATACTCAACCTGTATCTGATTTTAGCACACTTTTTTCACTAACTTGCGTAATATAATGTATCTATTCAAAATTGTAGCCTCAGAAATTTGATTTTTTTGGTTTTTGTTTTTGGGGAGATGAGATGGAGTCTCACTCTGTTGCCCAGGCTGGAGTGCAGTGGTGTGATCTCGGCTCGTTGCAGCCTCTGCCTCTTGGGTTCAAGTGAGGCAGTTTTTGCCATGTGGGCCAGGCTGGTTTCAAATTCCTGACCTCAGGTGATATGCCCACCTTGGCCTCCGAAGGTGCTGGCATTATAGTTGTGAGCCACCGCACCTGACTTGTAGCCTCAGAAATTTGGATTGCTATGTAGATGAGCTTTTTACTAAGCGAGATAAAAATAAGGTAAACTCCGTAGATTTGGATTGTATTTATTTACTATATTTAATTGGTCACTTTTCCTTTTTGAAAGTAAGGTCATAATGATTTCCCTAGGTACTTTTTTCTAATTTGGTTCTCTTTTTGAAAATATTTTCCTCCCAGTTATGGCATCTGTGTTCATCCTTCTAAAAAAAACAACCTTTTACTCTGGAGTAAGAGTTCAGTAACTGAACATAGTTGTTCAAATACGCTATTTAGACTTTAGAGACATTCATTTTGTGATACAGGTTAATTTAATATACAAAGATTAAAATTCTTAATGTATATTAAAAAAGCATAGTAATGTGCTTTTTGTATATTGGCATGTGTGTGTGTGTTTAAGGCAACTAGGCCCATTTTATTAAACGTTCCTCCTTAAAAAAAACAAAATAATCTTACTTTTTGTATCTTTGTTTCACATGGGAAGCCCCCAGAATTTATTTTACATTTATTTTTTTTTTCTCTTTTTCCTTTTTTTGAGATGGAGTCTCTCTCTGTCACCCAGGCTGGAGTGCATTGGCGCCATCTCAGCTCACTACAACCTCCTCCTGCTGGGTTCAAGCAGTTCTCCTGCCTCAGCCTCCTGAGTAGCTGGGACTACAAGCATGCGTGGCCACGCCCAGCTGGTTTTTGTAGTTTTAGTAGAGATGGAAGGTTTTGCCATGTTGGCCAGGCTGCTCTCAAACTCCTAACCCCAGCTGATCGGCCCTCCTCTCCCTCCCAAAGTGCTGGGATTACAGGCCTGAGCCACCCAGCTAGGAGTTTTCCCCCTTTTTTTCTTAAACAAGACTACTCATAAAATACTTAGTAGCTGGCCTGGCACGGTGGCTCACACCTGTAATCTCAGCACTTTGGTAGACCGAGGCAGGCCAATCATGAGGGCAAGAGATTGAGACCATCCTGGCCAACATGGTGAAACCACATCTCTACTAAAAATACAAAAATTAGCTGGGCATGGTGGCACGCACCTGTAGTTCCAGCTACTCAGGAGGCTGAGGTAGAAGAATCACTTGAACCCAAGAGGTAGAGGTTGCAGTGAGCCAAGATAGCGCCACTGTGCTCCAGCCTGGCTACAGAGCAAGACTCCCTCTCAAAAAACAAACAAACAAACAAACAAACAAACGAAAAACCCCACTTTGTAGATGTTACACAGCATTGAAGACAGGTTTGGAAAAAAAAGTATCCAATCTAGGTTAAAAATGCTGAAATAACAGTTGAAGCAGATTTTTAATCAAGTATTTTGTAATTTAGCTGTGAATGCTGTGATTGTATTGGATTTCATTTGCCAAAGACCAGAAAGATTCCAGCAGTGATAGAAATCTAGACTATGTGCAGTTTGGAGGTAGTTCAGATCTGAAGTGTTTTACTCTAATATGATTAAAATGAAATGACAGTTAAGAGTTAAACTGCTTAGGAAGTATTTGATGATATCACCAGCATTAATCCACATTAATGGGTGTGGTTACAAAATGATGTACAACCAGCAGTCCTTGCTGTTATTATTTGTACTTAGAAGCAGTCTTGCCTTTTAAAAGTTCTAGGAACGTGTTCATGATAGCTTTTTATAAAACTGACACCTTAATCTTTACTATGTCTGAATTATGGCTTCTGTTACTCAACTAGCATTTGATTATTTACTGTCTTGTATAGTTCTCTTCTATCATGTTTGTATTTTGTCTTTTCAAGTAATATGTTTTTTTCTGAAAGGCAGAGACTGTCTCATGTTATTGTTAAAATTGAGTAGCTGGCAGTATTACATGTTGAAAATTATGAATTTAACTTGACGGATGACCTCTATCCAATTGCCAGATTTCTGGTTAGTTTTTGTCCTTTGATCAGCGTTTGTTACTTTATTTTTGGTAGATTTGCTTGCATGAGTTCTTCCGTATACCCCTTCCCATTGCCCATCACCATGCCTCCTGTTTTTTGTTGTTGTTGTTTTTGAGATGGAGTTTCGCCAAAAACTGGAAACTGCCCAAGCTGGAGTGCAGTGGCGTGATCTTGGCTCACCAACAACCTCTGCCTCCTGGGTTCAAGCGATTCTCCTGCCTCAGCCTCCCGAGTTGCTTAGATTACAGGCATGTACCACCACGCCCAGCTAATTTTGTATTTTTAGTAGAGGCAGGGCTTCTCCATGTGGATCAGGCTGGTCTTAAACTCCCAACCTCAGGTGATCCGCCTGCCTCAGCCTCCCAAAATGCTGGGATAATGGGTGTGAGCCACCGTGCCTGGCCGTCTACCTCCTGTCTTTAAGTGCTGCTTATTCTCCTTTCTTCATTTTCTCAGTAAACCACACACTTTCAACTCAGTTTTCTCAGGCTCTATTCATCCTTCCAGGTCAGAGAAGAAACATTTATCTGTAATAAACATTCATCTATAATAAGCATTCCGTGCATATGGATTAAATGAATAAACAAAGAACTGTATACCTGAAAGTTGCATATTTGCCCTAAGTCCATTTAATTAAAGTTGGGTTTCATGGACAGCTTTTTAATTTTGAAATTCACATCTAACCATCTCACATTGGGACTGTCATGTCATCATCATTGAGAAAGCATGCCTAAGTCCATCTTTGTGATTAAGAACAGATAGGAACTCAGGATGAGGACCTGCTTGTTGCTCACTTGAGCCAGCTGATGCTTAAGGAGCAAAGAAGTCCTCAAAGGTGAGGAGAGATAAGTTCCAGAAATAACTTTTTTCCATGATGAAAACTAGAGACAAGAAAAGAGGAACAGAGCAAGATCTAATTTTAAACTTCTGGAGGACAGAGATTCTTTTTTCCCAAGTCTGTGCAAGAGACAAGGTCTCACTCTGTTGCCCAGGCTGGAGTGTACTGTTGTGATTGTAGCTCACTGTAGCCTCAACTCCTATGCTCAAGTGATTCTCCAGCCTCAGTCTCCCCAAGTAGCTAGGACTACAGTTGTGTGCCACCATACCCAGCTAATTTTTTAAAAAAAATTTTGTAGAAATGGGATCTTACTATGTTGCCACTTGCTGGTCTTAGCCTTCTGATCTCAAACAGTCCTCCTGCCTCTCAAACAATTCCCAAAGTGTTGGGATTACAGGCATGAGCCACTGTACCTGGCTTCAGGATTGTTAATAGCACTTGGCACATATAGATGCTCCATTATTATGTTGACTGAATGACTCTTAAATTCTTGGATGTGCTGTGGTGCTTGGCATAGTGTCAGGCACTGAGAAAGCACTTGGCTTACTTAAAATTTTCCTCAGACTCATCATCAGTTCCATCGACTTCATCTCCAAGCAGCAGCTCTCCAAGTTCTGATGTTTCTACCTCTGTAATGTCTCTTGCATTCATTCCCTCCTTTCCTCTGTGTTACTGTCTTGGTAACTCTTGGTTGGACTCAAAGGCAGTCTTGTTCAAACATAGCTTGGGTTTGCTCAGAAAGCTTTGGTGGCTCGCCAGTGCCTCCAATACAGAGTTCAACCTGGTCAAAGCAGGCAGATCGGGAGGTCAGGAGTTCGAGACCAGTCTGGCCAACATGGTGAAACCCTGTCTCTCCTAAAGATACAAAAAAATTAGACGTGGTGTTGTGTGCCTGTAATCCTAGCTACATGGGAGGTTGAGGCAGGAGAATCGCTTGGACTAAGGAGTCGGGGGTTGCAGTGAGCTGAGATCATGCCATTGCACTCCAGCCTGGGCGACAGGGTGAGACTCTGTCTCCAAAAAAGAAAGAAAAGAAAAGGAAAACATCGGAGGAAATTGAAGGGTTTAGCAGATAAAATATTTAAAATTAAAATTAGCCTTTTCGTTTCAACTAATGATTTGATTATTAAACTTATTAATGCAAATTAAAATAAACCATTTTTAGGGGTCTACATGACTTAACATTTTGCTTAAGATGAACAGCTGCCCTTTAATCAATTTTGAGGACAAGGGATAGGGTGTTGATAACACAGCTTAGGTTTTTAGCCGGCTACTCATTTGTTAGTAATAACTTTGGGTGTAAACATGAATGTTTTTCTTTCTAAGTTCCCAAAGGCAAACATTTCCTTTTCTGGTTAGTTCCATTATGGGTCAGCTAAACAGCTTACTGTGGAAAAGAAAAATCTAAGATTCACATTCCTTTCTAGTTATTAAAATTAGCACATTGAGGATAATATATTGTAAGAAGTGGCCTCTTTTAGTACTGAATTAAATATCTAAAATACTTTACTTTGGCTGTACATTCAATATAGCCTGCCACTGCACTTACCAGTTACCCTGTCTTTAGAAAA